ATTTTTTTGCTGCACATGCTGCACACGCCGGCTACTCAGCTCGACCATGGCATGGGCGGTGGCTTTCCACGCCATTGACCCGTTGCTCTATGCTGCCCACCGAACACCAGCTGCGATCTCATCCCAGGCATGAGCATCGGCTTTCTGCTGCCTACATGCACCGAGAACGGCAAGTGGGTGCTCCGGCCTGCACTCCAGCGGAAGTTAGCGCGCCAGCTTCGCGTGTCCAGCTCTTCATTGCCTCGTTTTTGCGCAAAGCTTTGTGAGTTCAACATCTCACTTGTCTTACTAGTTAGCTATTAGCCTTCAGCATGTTCGCTCTGGCTGACCTGCTGAACCCGCCGCCGTCACAGGAAGGGCGAGCTCCCGAGGCTGTGATGGTTGAAGCGTACGCTAACTGCGGTTGCCTGCCTATCCAACATCGCTAACCTTCCATAGTGATGCGCCAGCCAACTCCGATCCAAACACAGCAAACGAACAGATACTGTCGAATGACGCAAAATCGCCAAAACATTCTGCGCAGACCAGGAAAACCGCGTCGCTAATAGGATCAGCAGTGTCGAGCGAGACTGAATCGTCGAGCCTACCAGCTCTGCCAAGCGACGTTAACACGCTTGCTTGTCTAAGCCAGCATGAATTGTCGCCGGGCAAGCAACCGCGAGCAGGCAAATCTATTTCGAAAAGGACGATTTACTACGATGGCCGAGAATGGGAGTACAAAGGCTACAAGTGGGTCAAACAGGGCATTCTGTCCTTGAGACTGATGCCTGTCGGATCGAACGAGATAATTGAGTTGGTCCACGAGAGAGACGTGCAACTTGATAATCAGAAGGGCCTTCTCGAGCTATGGAAGGGCATCGGCCGACCTAAGCCTAAGAACAGAATGTACCAGCCATTGAGGATTCTTGACGAAACAAAGGATGAGAAATTCGAATTGCAATCGACAGGTTTCGACGAGGAGTCGTACTCACTAGAGCCAGTATCAAAAATGTGGAAAGTCGCCCCGGGTTTAGTGGATGAGTACTACGACAGGCAAACACAAGGCGAAGCGAGCCATGCCGTCAAACACGGTGGAAGACGCCCAGTTAGGCGGCCACAGCTTCCACCAGGCCCAAGACGTAAACCTACACATCGCCCACAAGCCCGCGGCGGTAAAGGACCCTCGGCAAGGCGGCGGATTTGACCGGCACAGAGTTGCAACTGCCGCAGTAGTCGACCAGACCCGCTTGAATATGTTTGGGCTTGGTGGGAGCTGTCAGCCGCCAGAATTCAACTCTGCCTTCGCACACGCGCATGCAGGCAGCTGTCAAGGTCATCTTCGTATGCGCCCCGTCTGCAGCTAAACAGACCATGGTCACAATGTACCTCCTTATCGAGTCGCCGGGCTCTGCACGGTCGAGAGGCCCTGACGCTTTCACACCATGACAAAAGATGCCGCCATAATCTGGTTCGCTTCTGAAAAAGGTGCGGCCGACTATAGTGCAGTGATGACCGTGTCTTCATCTTGTGACTTCTCTCAAGTGACGCTCATGAGGCACACAGGTGTGCGTCGCAACTCCATTTCTAGAATGATGGCCTTGTGTAGACTTTGCTCACAGGGACGCTGGTCACTTATTAACACAAATTTTAATTCATGTCTTAGCAGTACAATGTTTAGCAGTACAATGTTTCAACATTTTGCCTCCTCAGCCGCGCCGGGCTGGTCACCAGGCGGACGTTTTTCCCTCAGCAAGCGATCAAGCTGCTGCAAGACTCCGCTCTGATCATTCAACGAAGCGCTTCGATACTGTATGACGAATCCCGCACTTGCATCGAATGTTTCCACAAATTTTCTCGGAACCAAGGCTCGGTACAGAAAGATCTCTGTCTTGCTCATGCCAATGGCCCTCACCCACGCACTCAATTGGTTCGGTTCACCGCTCCTCAACATCTCCTGCGCCATCGCTGCCATAATCAATGCTATTTGCGCGTCCTCTTCTGCTTTCTTGGGCTTGATGCGCCGTTGCTCCTCAGCGATACGTGCTGTGGTTTCCTTCTCTCCTTCGGCTTTTTGTAGAAGAGTTATGATGTGCGTCTCCTTTCTGTTTTGCAGCTCCGCAAAGTCGGTATATGCTATTGCTGAATCTGCGTCTGAGTCTCGGAAGACGCCATCTGTAGCCACCATCGACGCGGCATGTCCATATCGTAGCTGAAGCTTCTGTTTTTGCCCTCGCCTCCATGGCCGCACTTCGTACGGCTCAAGCAGCGCTTTTATTGCGTATAGCTTAGCGACGCCGTAGCGCTTCAACTTTTTCGCGGTGCTCAGCTGTGCGGCCTGGAATTGAGATGGCACCTCACTTTCGTTCTCCGTCCACTCGAAGCTTATGCCAAATATGTCCTTGTCCATTTCGCTGCAGTATAGCGAGGAGGTAGACGTTGCGCCCCAAAGGAGTTCACCGGACGTGAGTGGCCTGGCGGCGCTTCGCCCGCTGTAAGGCGCATGTTTTCTTCGTTTCGATGCTCTGTCGTCTGCGGGATTGCGATGGCGCGTTCGCTTCGACCCTCCCCTTCCGTCCACTTGTAGTGGCTGACCCGGCAGAGCCATGATGGGTCCTTCTCTGAATCATTCCTCGGTCGTTATGGTCTACAAGTGTCCTTGGATGACGCTTGTGCTGACGTCTGTCGATGTTGAGGGTGGCGTTGATCGCGTTTGCCCGACTTTTCACAGCACCGGTACCCACGTGACAGCGCGCGTATATTGCGACAAAGGAGACATGCCCCGCACTCCCCACATCGCAAGCCCATGTGGACATTGCATTTTGGACGAGGAACATTACCGCAGTTCTCCCGCACGACAACGTGAACTCGGTAGTAGTCTCTGATCTGTTATCCATCCCCGTTTCTACTTAAGTCATAGCCATGTCCCGCGATCCCGATCTCCCTGAGACTGTTGCGCAACTCGTTACCCCGCAGGGCCTTCGCGTTCTATCGAATCTTGGCAAGCTGGGGAGCCTCTGCCAGCAGATGGAACAACGAGGAGCTGGTTGCATTCAGGGTCGTCAAGTGCGCTGCCTCTTGGCATAAGCGTTTCTTACCGCCTTTGCGCTACAATCATAAGCGATCTTGCCCGATCTGCCTCCCGGAGAGCTCAAAGTCGCAAAAAGTTGATCTCGACATGATTGCTCATCTTCGTGAATCTTTTCCCCGACTTCGCACCGCCTCCGAATCTTCCCTGTGCGACCTGCCCGCCGGCCGCTTTCTCCTCGCACTGGCCAAATTAATTCGATCCGATGTTCGAGATCCAATGCGGGAATATCCCGCTCGCGAAGGTGCGGGTGACAAGCCAGCCGATCCAGGTTTCGTGCCATCCACCACGATTCCATTCCCAGAGTCTTCTTCTCCTGCAGGGGCCTCTCCGTCTGAGTATTGTGGTAGTCACGCTAGCGTCACGCTGGACGATGACCAGAATGAGTCCCGCGTCCGCAAACCAGAGTTGCTCGTGGCCGAGCTGGCGAAAGAACTCTTCTACCTTTCCTTGTACTTGGTCCTGAAACAATCGCATCCAGAGGAAGAGTTTTGCTTTCGCCCAGAAAGCCATTCGTCAACGGCACTGATTGCTCTCCAAGCTTTTGTCGGTGCCGATGATGGCGATCTATGCAAAAAGAGTCTCGAGTCCGGCTCCTGGATAGTCGTTCACCCGTCTCTCATGGTGGGCGAATGCAAGCCAGCATCCCAGGCCCTTTTTTATGACAACCGTACCGAAAGATATTTCCCTGTCTTGACCATCAAGGCCTTCGCTCAAGTCGTCGGGGAAGCTGTTGCGACGTGGAAGCAGTACAATGATACAGAACTATTCCCTGCTGGGTTCGGGCTCCCTTCTCTTTGTCGCTCGCCACTGGACCTCGGTTCGCAGCTAACCAGCCCGCCCCGTGTAGCCTCTACTCGTATGTTTGCAATGGAACATTTATCCGTTTCTTCCACTTTGACTTCGGCTCGCACTACGCCGAATACTTGAACGCAACTACGGCGAATGAGCAACTGGATGTTGTCCGAAATCATCCAGAAGAAACATGCATTCGCGTATCTAGCACGAAGTGGCTAGATCTCGAGAATAATCAAGACGTTCTTCTCTCGATTTGCCACATACTCACTCGATTGAGAGTAGAAGAAGGTGAAGTCTCGGATCTGTCGGAAGCAGATCATGAAGCGGATCGTCAGTTGGCGGCTACACCAGAACGAACGGACGTATCTTCCGGATCTGATGGTTTCGACGTGTGAAGGACGTTTCCACAGGTTCATCGCGGCTCTAGAAGGGGATGCCAACGGGAGTTTGGTGCCCTCACGTGTGCGCTGCTTGTATCTCTAACTATGGTGGCTGTGCTGCAAGGTGCTACGGTGATGGCCATGCCACTCTCATTCTTTGCTTCCCATGTCGCACGCAAGCGTGAATTGTCGCCATGTGCACAATGATACCCCGTAGTCAAGCGGTTTGTCAGTACGGACAGGGTATAGAGGGGCAGACTGCGCTGTGACGAGTGCCCTCTCTGGCGTCCCCCGCATCAAATACCGCCAATATATGGCAGATGATGTCCTTGCGCATGATTCCTCGTCTCGTCGGGCGGTGCCATGTCTGGTGCGCCAACATGGGCACGCTCCGCAAAACGCTACTGACTCAGCCACAGGCTTCACACGTATCCCAGGCGACCGGGGCGTCTGACCCTGTTGTCATGTACCTCGACGCAATTATGTCAACCATGCATGTACCGTACACACTTGCCAAAAAACGCCACTGCGCAGGCGAAGTGACAAGCCACGGTCAGCTGATGCTGTGTTGCGCCACGATCACCCTAAGGCACGCGGACGAGAAACCCAAGAAGGAAAGATACTGGATGATGAAGGCGACCCTATCGAGGATGATAACATCAGTTATTTAGAGGTCGCACAAATTTTACCGCACTCATTGGTCCGCGTTAGATCGGAAACAGAAGAATTGGTATGTCTTCAACGTTGCGTCTACTGCTACGTACTCGTCACTCTTCTTATTTTTGTCAGTCTTTACAAGGTTCTGCTCCTCCTACCGCGACCTCCTTATTTCCTAGCATCTCCATCACTCTCGCACATTCCTGTTTATTTGTACTGTTCTCTCGTTTCTCTCACTTGAAGCGTTTTGCATGCCTTCATCTGTGCTGCGCCACTACTACACTTCTAGAGCGAGTCCAAAAAGACCGACCTGGAGATTCTCAAAATGTTCGACAATGACGTTGCTCATCTTACCAATGGCGCGGACGCTGACCAACCGCACAATGCTATAACTCTGACTCTGGATTTGCATCGAGCCCTTGGAATTTCAACGTCTACTGCACGCAAATCGCCAACCGCCCGCATACCTATGAAATCAGGTCATTTCGAGGGATTGGATTCCAGAGAATGCTGCCTGTCACAAGGGCGCTGTATCAGCAGATCAAAGCATCAACCCACCGGCGCCACGCCTCCTCGCTCTACACCACGCTATCGGACACATCTTGCACCTTTCAGGTGCGGGAGAGCATAAAGACGATATTTTTCGCAAGTTGGAGGATCGAATGGTGCAATGTGATGGGTCGACGCCTTTGGCAGAACTAGTGAGTTGAGAATGAATGGATGAAATGCCACTTCTGTGAACTCATAGAGTAGAAGTCAAATTGGCGAGGACAGTCTCATTTCCAGAAGCTCATTTTGCTGCAAGAAATTATTGGCGTATGATGTGATGCGTAGAGGGGACGGCCGGAAATGCATCCCTCCTGGTACAAGCTGGGCTACAGTCAGTGTAGACAGGCTTGCAATTGTCCACCGAATTGGAATTCTCTTCACGTCGACATGGGCTGCTACTCAAAAATGTAAAGACGGCAGGGTAAACCCTCGGGGTATCATGAATTATAGACAGAAACCTCAGGCCAGCCCAAGACCTTTTTGCAGCTCCCGGTTGACGTTGGCCAGAAACTCGCGACTATTGGACTGCGTGACGTAGCCATCAAAGCTGAAGTCGTCTGGTCGTTGCCTCTTCCTTCCCCTCAGCAAATCTTGCACCACCTCCTCCTCCGACCAATACTCATCATCGTCGTTGACGCAGCCCTGCGTTTCGTTCCCGTTACGGGTTGGTCGCCGTCTCTTAGACGGGTCGCCTGCGGGCGGCGCAGTCTGCAACGCATCTCCGGAAGAGGGCGTCATGGGGAGGCTCGGCCGTCCGCTTAGCGGAGTGCTGCCTCCGCTCGACGGACTCACGAGGCTTATGGCCGAGCTGCTTCTGTTGGTGGCGTCAAGCGATGATAGAATGATATTTGGGCGCTCGGCGGCCATGTTCTCGATGCAGCACATGTCGTAGTGGTGAGCGAGCGCACTACGGTCAACCCGGGGTGGGATTTGCGCCTTTCGTCCGTGATAGAGTTCAAGATCCTCGAAGGGGACAAAGACCCGGATACGAAGCGTAGTTGGGTGGATGGACAAGAGGCGCGCATCAAAAAAGTCATGTATATGCTTCATGAGTAGAATACCGTTGCCGGGACTCCACGTCTTCTCCCATGCCTGGCACAGCCGTCGCGTGCTGTCCTGGGTGGTATCGCTCGGACCCCCCAAAGGGTACAAATGGTAATGCTGCTGCGGCACAATGTGGCAGGCTTGGACGCCGGGGCCGATAGGCTGCAGCGCGCTCCAGGGCCGGCCGCCGCCTGATATGGCACAGCAGCTAGCCTGGGCGATGCAGGCCATGCGAAAATCACTGATGGTCTTGCGAGCCGCGTCAATGTTCATGTCCATGTCGGCGGGGGCGATCATGTCATAGCTTTGGTTGTCGGGGCCACCGGCTGCATCGTCTGGTTTGTTAGGAGAGGTTGCGCCGGAGCGCTTCGGCGGAGACTGGGAGCGCGCTTTCGCTTTACGTCGAAGGGGCATAATGTTGAGACGAGGGTCGGTCGAAGATTTATTGTAAGGGAGGAAGGCGGGGTGATGGCGACGGCGGGGGTCAGGGAGGCTGTAAACGCATTTGGCTGGGACCCTGTGAGCAGAGGGTGGCATGACAACCGGACCAGGAATGACGAACCTCTTATATGGTCTTTGAAGGAACCAGAAATATTGCAAGGCTTGTGATGCACAATGTGGTAGGTGACGGTTCGCCGCCTCGTGGCGCTTTCCGAGGCTAGACCAGGGACCAGCTCGTTAAACCTCTCGCTTGTGATGAAGGATGGATGATTGACAGGGAAATCTGCCTCGTCTGGCGTTTCCGCCAGCGCGAATGCAATGTCGAACCATGGCCTTTCGTTGATGTTGTCTTGGTCTTGGTTGCTGTCGTTATTGGCGCTATCGACGAGGCTGGCGGCATTGACGGTGTTGGCAGTTTTGACACTGTTGACGTTGTCAACGTTGTCGACGTTGTTGAGCAGTTTTCCGCCGCCTGGATAGTCAAAGCAGAGGGCCAGCTCAGCGCACAAGTCGCCAAACGTAACCGTCGGCTCGCGCGGGTTCTGGTAGATACCCCCCAGATACTGTTGGTTGGCAATGGTGAGGATGACGTTCCATCCACCGGCGCGCATCGGAGCCGTGACCGCGCTCGTCATGTTGACGGTGTCGTGCTTGCGATATATGCCGAGGGATGCATGCTTTACTGATAAAGTATTTGATGAATCTACACAAGGCGCGTCCGCCGGTGTGAGGGGTGTATTTTGGGTGACTAAGCCAGTTGCCCCTGGTTGGCTGAACAACGGCGGCATGAGTGGCTGGCTCAACAGAGCGCGAGGCGAAAGAGGACGAAGACAAAAAGAGAAGTATCAATCTTAAGAAGAAAAGATGATGTATGATAGTCAGGCCTGTGGCTCGGCACGTCGGACACTTCCTTTCGGCTTTCCCCTGCCCCAACAAACGCTGCAAACGACGTGGCCTGCATAGTCAGCGGCCTGGAACTGGTTGCGCATTCGGGCTGCCTACCGCATGGCGTAAACAGAAGATCGTCCGCGTCGTCGCAGACAGGGCAGTGTCTCCAGTCATACTGCTTCACAAACGTGTTCTGCCGCAGTCAGAGTTGGGCCGTTTGCCTGTCGGCCAAGGAGTGCTGCCTCACCGGTCTGCCCAGGAAATTCTGAATGCCCGCGCAGTCGATGTCGTCGGCCTCGCCCGCCAAGGCGCAGACGAGGCACACGCGCCAGTTGTGCACCCGAAGCAGCGACACGATGTCGGCGCACTCGTCGCAGAGAAGCTGTCTCTGTCAGAACCTCGGCCTGCTTGGGT